CTTATCATTTGAAGGAGCTAGGAATAAAGATTTTTTTTTAAAAGTAACCAGATAAAATGATTGTTGGAATATATATAATTTTACACAGAGATGATGAACGATTGAATGAGATATAAATATACAAAATAATATCTTGTATGTACAAATATACCTAAACATATTTGAAACAAGAAAAATAAACTAGATTTTTGTAGGATTAATATATATACCTGGAGCATCTTTCCAACATTGCTAGCACCATAGACTTTATGAACATAAGAAAATCTTTGAGGATTATTTGGAGGAAAATATGGCAAAAATATACAATTGGAAGGGCATCTTCTTCTTAATTGCTTGCAAGCTGCACAACGTGAGGAAGTCATTTTCTTTTCAAATATTTTTTTTATATTGGAAAGAGAGGAAAATTTATCAAAACAAGGTACAAAGATTTTGTGAATCTTTTGTTTATGAAGAAGAAAATCTAAGCAGAGATCTTAGATACATTATACTTCAATTAAGATTCAAGATAGTGTATTTAAAATAAATAAAAAAACTATTAACGGCTATGCTTGTTTTTGAAAATTTGGTATTGTAAGGAAGGTTACCAGTACTTCAAATCAGCCATTCAGTGATTGAGCTAAACTTGGAAATAATGAAATTTAAATTTTTCTAATCATTTTTCTGTTTTTTTCTCTCTTCTTGTAAAGAATTTCTTTTGACAAAGTTCAAAGGAATATAATAATCTCAATGCGATGAATATAGTAAATGAATCATCATTAAGAGTGGATTGGATTCACTTTAACATGATCTCCTAACGAGACACTTCCAGTCACGTGTGAAGCAGTGTGTGGAGTCAAGTTAACTAACTGTAGTTAGTAGGATGGTTAATAGGTTGTTTATAGTTAATTAGAGTTAGACACAAATAATTAGTTGACGACTGTCAGTTAGTTAGTTAGTTAGATAAATACGTATACACTGTACAGATTCCTAGGTGGAATGAAATAGTATCGAGAAACTTCTTGTCAAGTTAACAAAGTAGAGGTTTATTAGGACTAATGTGTAATTACAGAGACTTAGGGTTGTTAGTAAGAGTAATAACCAACTTAGTCTATAAAAAGATTAAGTCGGTTATTACTGTGCTTATCTGAAAAAGAGAGCTTGTAGCTCGTTCTTCTTCCTTCTTCTTCTATGAAATCAAAGCCTTCATTATTGAATTGTTCTTGCATGTGTTAACCCAATTGAAGCTTGATCAATCTAGTACAAATTAACATGGTATCAGACCACAATCGATCAATTAGAGTTGTTATCCGAAGAGATCTGAAAACAGTTAATTTCATAGTTTGAGAAGGTGCAACAATGGCGGACGATGAAATTGAGAAGCTTCCTCACAATCATCCATTATACATAAAGGATTCAGATTCACCGGGAACAGCCTTGATAGCTCTCAAACTCACAGGGCCAGAAAATTATGCCCTATAGAGTAGATCTATGAGAGTGGCTCTCCTAGTGAAGAACAAATTAGGTTTTGTGGATGGAACTTGTCAAATAACTTCGTACAAAGGTGAATTGGCAGCGCAATGGGAGAGATGTAATGCAGTGGTCGTCTCATGGCTCAGCAACACTGTAGCGGCAAAGTTGGTGCCGAGCATCATGTACGCTTCAAGTGCGAGAAAGATCTGGGACGAGTTCAAGGAAAGGTTTGACAAAGATGATCTAACTAGAATTTACCAAATTTCTGCTGATATTGCTGCTCTTAAGCAAGGAACAGATTCTGTGACTTCTTATTTCTCAAAGTTGAAAGACTTATGGAATGAGTTAGATATCATAACACCTTTACCCTTATGTGATTGTGAAGAATCACGTCCATATGTAGATCACCTGATGAGACAAAGACTTTTACAATTTTTAATGGGGTTAAATGAGAGTTACAGTCATGTGAGGAGTGCAGTGTTGCTAAAAGGCCAGTTCTTACTGTGAATCAAGCCTATGATGTTGTAGTGCAAGAAGAAAGTCAGAGGGAATTAGCGAGTAGTTGAAACAAAGAGGGAGCCAATGACTATGTTAGTAGGGAAAGGAAATCAGTTCATGAAAGGGAAGAAAATAGGTATGATTTGTGAACACTGTGGATACAAAGGGCATTTGAAAGAGAATTGCTACAAAATAGTTGGATACCCTGCAGATTTCAAAAGTAAGAAAAAGAATCAGTTTCCTACAAAAACATATGCTAACAATGTTAATGGAGAGAAAGAAGTAATAATGAATGAACAACCACAAGGAAACTACATAACTGAGGATCAATACAAGCACTTGGTGAGCCTGTTGACAAAAACATCCATCGAAGGAAGCTCCAACAATACATCAAGCTCAACAAATATGACAGGTATAAAGTCACTGTTATTTAATGCAAGATCATATGCTTGGATAGTAGATTCAGGAGCATCACACCATATTACCTTTTGTAAAGAAGTTTTAGAAAAATTAAGGAGAATCAACAAAGGAAATAGTAGAGGAGTTCAAATACCCACAGGAGGTAGATCAAAAATAGTACATACAGGTGATGCAACAATACTAGGAGGGAAGAAGATTAGGAATGTCCTACATGTACCTGACTTCAAATTCAATCTCACTTCAGTGTCTAAACCGACTAGAGATTTATGTTGTTCAGCCTGCTTCTACCCTGGTTTTTGTGTGTTTCAGGGGCTTTACAATGGCAGGGTACTGGGGATTGGTAGAGAAGATGAAGGGTTGTACATAATCAGGAGTGAAGAAGATGAAATAGTAGCTGGATCAGTCAAGAAGGAAAAAATAAGTGCAGAATTGTGGCCTCAAAAGATGGTGCATGTCTCTATAAATTCATTGCAATGCTTGCCAGACCTGAAGAATAAAGTGAATAAAGATGTGCAGATGTATTGTGAGATTTGCCCATTGGCTAAGCAAAGTAGACTAAAGTTTCCTACTAGTAGTCACCAATCTTATCACATTTTTCAGCTTGTGCATGTAGATGTCTGGGGACCATACTAGCCTACAACCTATGACAAGAAACATTATTTTATAACTATAGTAGATGATTATAGTAGATATACTTGGATTTGTTTGCTGCATTCTAAATGTGAAGTAATAGTAATGCTGAAGGATTTTTTTCCCTTGTGAAGAATCAGTTTAATGCTTCTATAAAAGTGTTGAGGTCTGATAATGGTAGAGAGTTTTTCAATAAAAACTGCAATGAATTACTTGCATCCTTGGGAATAGTACATCAAAGTAGTTGTCCCTATACTTCACAACAAAATGGAGTAGTAGAGAGGAAGTATAAACACATATTGGAGGTGGCAAGATCATTGAAATTTCAAAGTAACATACCTACTAGATTTTGGGGGGACTGTGTCAAGACTGCGGTCTACTTAATCAATAAGCTGCCCACAATAGTGTTAAATAGAAAATCTCCATATGAAAAACTTTATGGGAAAACACCAAAGATAGATCATCTTAAAGTGTTTGGATGTATGTGTTATGCTAGCACACTGCCAAGAGGGGACAAGTTTGCAGTAAGAGCCTTGAAGTCAGTGTTCATTGGCTACTCTGAAGTGCAAAAAGGATATAAGCTGTATGACATGGAGTTCAATAAGTTCTTAGTGAGCACGGATGTAAGTTTCAGATAAGACATATTCCCTTTTAAGACCTTACCTTGTCAGCCTGAGAACTTATTCATTCCTGATACTGATTTTCCAACAGTCACAAAAGATTAGCCTATTTCAACACCTATAGTTGATGATGATCTGGGAATTGAAGCTGAGACAGACACTTCCACTCCTTATGTGCCACCAGATATGCCACTAAATGAGACAACAAATGACATGAAAATACTTAATTCAGATGAGAGGAATGAACAAAGTACCTCACAACAACAAAAACATGAGGAAGTGCAGCAGCAGGAACATGCATGGGAGCTATCTGGACAAGTGTCATCAATTGTGCAAGAACCTACAAAGATCAGGAAATCTACAAAAATACCAAGACCAACAGTGTGGCTCAAGGATTATGTGACTACTTGTAAACCAAAAGGAGACTGTCTCTATTCAGTTGCAGACTATGTAAGCTATAATCATCTTTCAGAGTACTACCAATGTTATCTAAGTTCATTCTCAACCCAAGTGGAACCAAGAAGTTTCGGGGAAGCAACACAAGATGACAGGTGGATAGAAGCAACAGAAAATTCTGGCACTAGAAGAAAACAAAACATGGGAGGTAGTAGATCTTCCTCCAGGAAAGCAAACTATTGGCTCAAAGTGGGTGTATAAAATCAAACACAAAGCTAATGGTAAAGTAGAGAGGTTCAAAGCCAGGCTGGTGGCAAAAGGATATACACAGCAGGAAGGTTTGGACTATCATGAGACTTTTTCACCTGTTGCCAAGATGGTAACAGCCAGAACTGTGATCAATCTAGCAGTTTCTAAAGGCTGGGTTTTATCTCAAATGGATGTCAACAATGCCTTCTTACAAGGTGATTTATATGAGGAGGTGTACATAGCCAGGGATTTCATAGGCAGGGGGAGTCTAAGGTTTGTAGGCTACTCAAGTCCCTTTATGGTCTTAAACAGACATCAAGGCAGTGAAATATCAAGCTGACTGATGCACTGATAGGTGAAAGATATTTACAAAGTACCAATGATCATTCCCTATTCACAAAGAAGACAGATGCAGACTTGGTGATCATCCTTGTATATGTGGATGATTTACTAATTACTGGCAGCAACAACAGATTGGTAGAAGAAGCAAAGGCAACCCTACACAAGCATTTCGAGCTGAAAGATTTAGGTGAGCTAAGATACTTCCTAGGAATTGAGCTCATGAGATCAAACAAGGGAGTTGTGCTTAATCAAAGGAAGTATGCACTTCAACTAATCTCAGAAGTGGGGTTGAGTGGTGCAAAACCAGCTAGCTCAACATTAGAATAGAATCTCAAATTGACAACTGTTGAGTATGACAAGCATGTAGAAGTTAAGGGAGATGAAGAGCTACAGGACATGGTAAGCTATCAGAAACTGCTAGGGAAGCTTATCTACCTCACCATTACAAGACCAGACATTTGTTTTGTTGTCCAAGTTTTAAGCCAGTTTATGCAGAATTCAAAGCAATCACATTTGGATGCTGCATTGAGGGTAGTTAGATATCTAAAAGGATCACCAGGAATGGAATTTCTGTTAAAGAAAGGAGCAATAGAAGAAATCATAGCTTATTATGATGCAGATTGGGCAGCTTGCCCAAGTACAGGAAGGTTTATGATTGGTTATGTAATAAAACTAGGAGAATCACTGATCTCATGGAAGTCAAAAAAGCAGTCAACTGTGAGCAGGAGCTCTACTGAAGCAGAATATAGAAGCATGACAGCAGTGACTTCAGAGTTGGTTTGGCTAGTGCGCTTGCTGAAGGAGCTGGGATTAACTGTAAAAGAGCCAGTGATGTTGCACTGTGATAGCAAAGCAGCTATGCAAATTGCAGCCAATCCAGTCTACCATGACAGAACAAAACATATATAAATTGACTGCCACTTTGTGAGAGAAAAAATCAAAGAGGGATTAATTGCACCTCAATATGTTTCCACTAAAGAGCAGCTTGCAGATGTGATGACTAAAGGGTTAGGAGCTAAACAACATAGAGTCCTGATATCCAAGCTAAGGATTGTTCAATGTTTTTCACCCTCCAGCTTGAGGGAAAGTGTGAAGTTAACAAAGTAGAGATTATTTAGTTATTAAGACTAATGTGTAATTACAGAGACTTAGGGTTGTTAGTAAGAGTAATAACCAACTTAGTCTATAAAAGGAGTAAGTCGGTTATTACTGTGCTTAATTGAAAATGAGAGCTTGTAGCTCGTTCTTCTTCCTTCTTCTTCTATGAAATCAAAGCCTTCATTACTGAATTGTTCTTGCATGTGTTAATCCAATTTAAGCTTGATCAATCTAGTACAAATTAACACTTCTTCTTTAATTTATCTCTCTGCTGTTCACTTCTTCCATCAATTCTTCATCATAATTCTGCAATTAACATCTCCAACTTTAACTAATACGTGTTACATTGTTCTTGCTATCAAATTTTGACTCCTTGGATTAAATTTTCTGTGCGAATTTTTGTAATTAAAAATTTAATAATGTGGAAGCACCTTAGCTAATGGTTATCGAGTACAGAAATAACCCAAGTGTTGCCCGTGGTAGAGCCATATTGGCCCAAGGGTGGTCAGTAAATTATATTGTGCACGTGTAGGTGAAATTTTATATATTGATTGTTGAATCTATTAATATAAGAAAAACATAATATCATGAAAAAATGGATTCAAAAAATGCTTGACCATAGTTTTAATTCATAATTGTAACATTTTAGTATTTTGTCCGTCTGAAATTCTACCTCCGCCTTTCATAGTCATCATCAAAAAGAAAGGAATTGAAATGAGTATAATAAGAGAACTCGGACATTTTCTAGATGTGGAAATAACGTTAGAACATTTGCATGTATCATAAATACATTAAATTTCTATATTAGAGGTCCAACATCCCTATCCTAACATCCACCTTTTTTTCACATCATAACTATTATTAGTCCAACTTCTTTAATTAGGTCCTTATTCAAGTCTCGCACTCTGGAGAGATCTCCAATCTTGAACAGAATTTTTTTTTTTTAAAAAAAAAGCTTGGTGAACTAAGTTCCCACTATGCGCGAGTCTGGACAATCCAATTAATTAAGCTGGTTTAATTTTGCATTTATTTTGACATTAATGAACCAACGACCCCAGCAATAAGAGTGGTAGGATCTCCTAGAACTGCAGATATAATAAACTGCAGAGCTAAACCAGCCATCTCACAACATTTCTGAACTTTGCCTTTACTTTTTCGATGATGAGTTTGAAGTGTTCCTTTCAGACTTGGGATCCTATTCTCCAGTTTTTTACAATTATTATTACTATTGTTATTATTGTAATTATTATTATTATTGGCTCGACCAAAGTAGATCTCATGCCAACTATCCACAAGCATCTCTTTGACACATGCTACGTGCAAATTGTATTTCTTGCATGTTGATCTATAACTCCAGCTTCTTCCTTTTCTCCCGCACCTGTGGCATGATGCACTTACCTGCAAAGACGAATTCAAGATTTAAGTTAGTAGATACAGAATGAGTATGACCAGTTTATAGTCAAAAGTAACAAGTTCAGTTGGATTCGCAAAACTCGCTCTAGATCCACCTCTGCTTAACTAGTCGTTCTAAACATAATTAGTTAAGCTATACGTTCTAAACATAATTAGTTAAGCTATATTTCCTTAATTTGAGAATGTGACTTTAAAACTAGGACAGATCAAGGTAATTGAAAAACTAGAGTTCAAATAGTTGAATGTAGAAATTAATTTACTAAACAAAAAAAAACGGAAAAGGGCCTGATATACCCCTTTACTTTGCTTTATTGTTCAATCTTGTCCTTCGTTATACTTTTCGTTCAAATTTACCCTTACCGTCCATTAAAGTTCTAAATTTGCCCCTATTTTAATGGTTGAGACAAGTGGCACATTCTAAATTCTAAAAGAATGAACCAAGCCAACTCAGAAAATAATCCAATCCGATCCATTACCCGACCCATTCTCCAATTCACTCTTACTTTTCCCCCAATTCTTCACATCAAGATCAAAGCGTTACTAATTTCATATCCCAAAATATCACTATTGAGCTCCTTGCTTGAAAAGAGAATTGGATATTGGTAAAATTATGTTCTAAAGAATGAGCCACCTGATAATGTTGAAATCTTAAAAATTCCCTGGAAGCCTTTTGTGAATAAGTTAGCAATAGCAGCCATACCTTCTTCCGGGTCGAATCAATAATTATCAACCGTAAAGAATCAGCACAAAGTAAAGATTTTGGTGATAAAGTTAAAGTCAAGAAGGCAAAACATAGCAAGAATTTAGCACCAAAATGGAGGAAATTACTAAATGGGTGTGCTAGAATTGGCAAGCATAGGTGGTTGAGGTGTTTTTCCAGTCAAGCGGTGGTGGAAGCTCCGCCGGAACTGCCATCGTTTAAGCACCACCCGACACCATATAAAGGGTCTTTGGCATAAAGTGTTGGAGAAATTAAAGAAATTTTTGGATCGTTCTCTCTTCTGCTATTACACAAAATCAGTAACTATTTTTCTTACAACAACATCAACCCAACAGTAACTATTTTTCTTCTTTTAATTAACTGTATATTACTTCCATATATTTCTTGGTTTTGAGATGATTAGTGGATTCTAAAGTATTTGAATCAACAAATTGAGTTGTGTAGGTTACTTTTGAGGAAAAAGCGTAAAGAAAGAAGAGGAACATACCTTAAATTTGATGATCAAGATTTGATTTTCTTTTGGAATGTGTATTTACTCGATATCATCATTTTGATATTTATCATTGAAATGAGTCCAAGTTCTGATCTTCACTGAAGAGAAGTGAGTTGGGAATGAGTGTCGGGTAATGGGTTGAATTAAGGGGCGGTTTTTAGAATTGGGGATGAGTCTTTTGTTCAGAATATGCCACGTGTCTTAGCCGTTAAAATAGGGGCAAATTTAGAACTTTGATGAACCTCATGAATAAATCTTAACAGAAAGTATAACGGAGGACAAGATTGAACAATAAAGCAAAGTAAAGGGGTATATCAGACACTTTTCCGGGGAAAAAAAGATGCAATTTGATTTCAATTTTTATCCCCGTATTCTCCAACTTTACCTCTAAACCTTCAATTTGTTAGACTTCACTATTTTAGTTTTGTATGGGGTAAAATATGTTTATACTAAATGATCACATGAGAAAGTGACATGTGGAGCCAAAGACAGAAAAGGCAGCCGGAGGCAACAACCTCGCTTGTTACCGGAGAGAATGATACTCATAAAGGTGAAATAAATGTTTGCCACCCAGTAGCATTTAATGAAAAATATTCTACAACATTAAGTACGCTGCCCGTTACAAAGAATATGGCATTCACTGCCTGTCGTTACATATTATTCAATGACCCTCATAATTGTCATTAAAGATGGGCTTGATCTTAGGACCTTGTTCCCTAAGTGCAGTTATAAATAGTGAACTCTATTATCATGGTAGAGGGATGCCAATTTTCTGACAAGCATACACTATATTCTATCAAAAGCTCAAGAACATTTTACTTTCTTGTTTATTTATAATGTTCCTACTTCCCTCCGTAGCCCTGCACCCGGAATTAAGATATCTGTTGTTTCCTTTCAATTTCAAGGCTAAGTCTTACATTTCTTTTTAATTCATCAGTTATTTGAGGATCAAATTAATTCACTTATTTATAAACTACGTATAAATTCAACTGCACCATTTTACGATAAACTAAGTTTATTCAACAATGAAACTATTCGATTGGGACGTCGATGTTAGAGTACTATCTCTATATCTCTATTAACGAAAAGCTAAGTAGGCTAAGATGCCAAAATGACTTGCCATCCGGAAGCAGAGCCAAATTTCCCACTTAAAATATTTACCGAATATTTCACCATAATATTTACCCAAACACTAACCAAGTAGTACCATTTTCTCATTTTGATGAGGAAACATGAAACTTGATATGATTATTGTGTATTAGTTCGATTCAACTTTGAAAATGGATAAGGAAAAAGTGAAATAAATTGGGGCGAAAAATCTATCATGAAAAATTATTAATATGTTGACTAACAGCTACATACCTTTCTATACAAGTAAAGCTTTACTTCTCCATCATCAAGCACCATAGGAAGCTTTGCACAACATGGATGAAGATCAAATCCACAAGACTTACAATGGTATAAAAACCCAGTAATATCCTTCTCACAAGCGTTGCAATAGCGCGGCACGTTTCCCGGAGGACGAGAGAGGAATTGAAAAGAGCATTTTTTGTAAAATGGATGAGTAATTGAAGCAGAAGGAATTGCACAATGCATATGGAGATCATAGTCACAAGTAGTGCATTTATAGCGAGACCCTATTCCTACTTCCTTACAACCATCACATTTAAATGGAAATTCTGAGTATTCAAATCTTAGCTTGTGTTGAGGGTGGCTAAAATGATATATCTCATTGTACTTCATTTTTTTTAAATTAAGTTTTTGGATATATATGGAAGCACAAGAAAAGAATTCAAGTGATAAATATATAAAGATGATTCTTGGACTGTTGTTATAACTTTATGTATTGGATTTAAGAGTGGCTTGTACTTGAAGCAAGAAGCAAGAAGCAAGAGGGATGTATACTGATGGTGATAGTTGCAAAATAATGAGTCTATAGAAGAATTTTTAAACATCATCAAGAATGAAAGAAGAGAGACATAAGGCATATTATTAGTTCCATACTCCACCATAGAAAAAGGAATTTTTGCTTTAAATGATTAGTCATCAACCTAATACTTTTGTTTTTCACTTATTCATTCTTTTTTTTCAAAAAAAAAATATGATAATTATAGTATCTTGGCCAGCTTGCGAATACCTCGACTAATTCCACAAAATATTTGTTTGCTATCTCCCACCGGTACAGTTATTGAGTAACTCTATCCATCAAAGCTTAGACTAATATGAAGAAATCACTAAGTGTTTTTGCCACCGACAGGATTTGAACCTAAGACCTCATGTGTATCAATTAATTTAAAATAAGCCAATAGCATCCTTATTCTTTATTTAAAAAATTCTCCTTTTCCGTCATTTTTCCTTCTGCTTTATTCTCATCTCACTTTATTGACCACTAAATCACAACCTTAAATACTTTTTCCCTTATTCTTTAGCCAGGGAAATTCAAATGATAAAAATCTATATGTGATGTAGATGCTTGGGTATAGTGTAATCAACTAATCCCTTAACCCCCAAAAAAGTGGGATGATGAAGACCCTTAGTTGCAAGCAAGGTTTTCAATAATGGGACCTCTAGAAAGTAATAAATTCTTGCAAATATCAATTTAAAAGAAATGAGGATTGCAATACAAAATTAATCGTGTCTTAAGTCCTTATATATAATTAGAAGAAATGAGAGGTACAATAAAATATCTACTAGTAAACATTTAAGGAATTTCGAAAAGAATAAGAATATAGCACCTTGAAAGTGGATTTTTGTCATGGCTAAGAAATCTTATTAGAAGATTTCCAAAGTGACATGTCAGAATCGTTAAATAAAGAAACAATTTCTTGAATTTAAGAACATTAGGAAGAAATTGGTATAGTTGGAATAATGATAAAGTCTGACGCAAAATAATGCGTAAAAGGTTAAAATAATGGTCAAATCCTAAACCAAAAGAGTCTTACAAAACTTTTAAAAAAAAAAAACAAGGAAAACCATCGCAAAAATTAAGAAGCAGTCCCAAATGTGGTCAAAAATCAAATACTGAAAATTATATTAGTCTAGATTTTGACCTCCAAACAAGTTACGAATTCGACAAAATCCAATATTTTGGAGTCGAACTAACTCCATATATTTGTACAAAATAATTCTAAAGTCCAAACAAAGTTATATAATTGCATTTTAGAGTCACTCATATTTACTCTTCAACTACTGATGATATGACAGAGCAATTGGGATATACAAAGAAGGAATAACATCTGGTTCTATTTAATTGGTGTAACAAAGGAACAAATTCTTTGGTCTTATTCTTCGTAATCCTGATAATTATTTTTGCTAAAAGATTTATCTTTTTTCAACTAGACTAAGTAATACTAACATAGAATGGGCACAGAGAAAAGAGAAATGATTCTTGTTTGTGGGATTTTGGTGTTGCTTACCTTTGAAAATGAGTCCAAAGTTATTAAGCTTACACGGAATATTAACTTAAACCCTTTGCTTTTCTTCTTCAACATGCTAAATTACAGTACCCAAAAGTATCACCATTTCTTTAAGCAACTTCTCTTCCAACTCAATCTTTGATGAGTGAACATTATGTATTTGACAGTGGCGAAACTAGAAATTTACTCAAAGGTATTCAAATTTAAAAGAAGTAAAAAAAATTCCGACAAAGGGTATTTAATATGTGATATATACCTCTAAAACGTAATATTTTATCTATATACACGGTACAATTTTTCGACGGTAGTCAACTGACCACCCTTATAACTATGTGACTTCGCCATTGTGTGTTTCCTTTGAAAAGAAAAAGAACAAACTCAAAACAAATCAATTATCACCAAGGAGTGCGACTGCATGGATAAATTCATTTTTGATCAAAGGTCTCACGCTCAAGCTTTAAAAATAAAAAGGAACACTTTCTTCTTAAGTAGACCCTAAACGGCATAGAATTTGAATTAATCGGATCATTAAATTTTAAATATCGAATGATTATATCAAAGAAAAAACAAAAAAAAAATGATATATAGAATCTTGCCCTTATGGTCAAGACTACTAGATGTTGGCAAATTTTAGGCATCTGTTTGGAATTTGTCTCATAATGTCAAGATAGTTCTTTTCCTTTGTTCAATTTTGTTTTCATTTTGTTCACTTTTTTTTCTTTTGTTTTCTCTTTGCTCTTTTTAGTACAAAGAGACAACTGGAATATTTGAGTGTGAGTAAGTTTGATAATTGTACTTGCAAGAATAAAAGCCAAATGCATCTAATTCCATGGTTCTGCTTTGTTGATGAGGCACCTGAATAGAGTGCTTCTCTTTTTGGTTTGTTCCATTCTCCTACCACCTATAGGACTTGGCTTTTCTACAGCCTAATTATCTTTGTTCGTTTAGTTAAACTCATGAGCGTGTATCATGTTTGTCAACAGTTTAATGGACAAACTTTCTAGACTTGTCTAGAACTCTCAATTCTCATAGTATTTTGTACTTCATATTTTTCTTTTTAGTATATCATATTTTCTTATTTGTCTTTTGGTTTTCTTGAGCCGGGAGTCTTTTGGAAATAGTCCCTCTACTCCTTCGGGGTAAGGGTAAGGTCAGCGTACACACTATCCTCCCCAAATCTCACTAGTGGGATTTTACTGGGTTGTTATTCTTGTATACTTCCTTATTTAGAAATAATTTACCTTTAAACTTCTCACGTTATCTTTAATGAGATGATTTATAGACATTCAAACATCAATGACTTACTTTAGACCACAAGTTTCAAAAGTTTTGCTAGCATTTTTCACTTGGACACTTAAAATTCCTATTAGACAATAGAACTCATTTCAAACTGCGCCAATTAAACACAAATATACTAATCAACCAAAAGAATATATTGTATGAATTACACGTGTCTGACGTGGCAAAATAGTCCAATTAAAAAAAGACACGTGGCTTTGACACAAAAAAGAGTCTTTTGAGAAAAGAATAAAAAAGTAACAAAAAACCCCTTCGACCCTAAATTGTCACGGTCTCCCACCCACCGGTGGCTCTAATCTCGTCGCCAGACATCACCCCTGCCTTCTCTTCTTTGTCTTCTTCACATAACCCTCCCCGCCCAACCCCTTTTCGGCTATCCAAACAGATAAACAGAACAACAGGGCTCTTTCCCTCGTCTCCTAGCCAGTGAAAAAAGGACTTTTACTGGAAAATTTTATTGGAAAATCTTAAAGATCAGTGCATTTTTCACGTCTTAGAAAGCTTAACTATCCGCTTTTCTTTAAAGATTTATTTTGTTATCCGGTAAATTGTTGGAAATCTTAACTTTGGTTTTACAAAGGTTAAATTTTCCGTCTTTGAGAATGTTTACCTCTTGAGATTTTCTGGAAGTGGGAAAGGATTGATGAGATTGATAAAGTTTTATCTAATGGGTTAATGGAGCTCCTAACTAGGTTCATGGTGATTCTTGTTGAAAATCATGGCAGATAATGATGGTGATGGACAGATTTGAAAAACGAAGAAAATCGCCACGACGAGCGGCAACTGGAAGTGGTGATTATGGCGGGAGGATGGTGGCAATAATGGGGAGAGAAAATCTGAAAATTTTAAGGGGAGAAAAAACAAGAAAATTATTGTTTTTTATTCATTCACGCACTCAAGGAGAGTGATAAACACTTTCTTTGCCATGTCATTGTTTTGTGTTTAATTGACACAGTTTAAAATGATTCTAGTATCTATTAGGAAATAGGCTAACTTTAAGTGTCCAAGTGAAAAGTGCTGCCAAGTTCCGGTGCATGTCTATGTATTTGGCCAAAATACTAACTCATAGAATGAAAAAAAAGGTATTTTAACTAAATTACCCTTTATTAAAATTTACATATTATTAACTTGACACGTTGGGATATGTAAATAAGGGAATTTGAAAAAATATTAATTCTTTCTTGATTAAGTAAAATGACACTTATTTTGGACCAAATAAAAGGCCAAAAGATCATTTATTGTGGACCGAAAGGAGTATTTCTTTCTTCAAATATCGCCACATACATTTGGGACGGAATGTGTACTTAACTATTCATGGATTTAGGTTGGAGAGTTGCCCAATATATTGGGGGAGAATTAACCCAAATAGCAGCCCACCAAATCTTTTAAACTAAAAATAACCAGCGGATGTATAAATTATGTATAATTAATGTATAAATTATGTATACAGGTTTTAAAAAAAGTAAACATTAAATTTGACCGGCTATTTGTGTGACAATCCCTATATTGGGCCTGCCTTTCCTTCTAGGAAGCCTTACTATTAGCCCAAATATTGATGAAGCAGATTTAAAAGAGTGAGCCCAATTATCTAACTCATTGAAGCAGCCCAAATTTATCAACAATTCGTTGTTTCACTCTCTGGTCTTCTCTTTTTCCAAATGGCATGAATCATGACGTGATTTTATTTCCACGAAATATTTTATAGAATACGCTTCGGAAGTTTGAGCCAAAATTGTTCGACGAAATGACTGAGAGAAGGTAGGCGCTTCGTACCAATGCATGTTTTTGGAAACTTGACCTTTCTGAAGCCGGATAAATGAAGAGAGTAGCTAGCGGTAAGCTGATGGCTCGCGTAAAGACCGTCTAATTATAATAAATCTTCTAAATATTGAATTCATTGCAGCATGTCTACCTGTATAAAATGAGCTGAATGGATACATGATTCATATAACCTGTGGGGTACATCAAAGGAAAAAGGAGTAGATTGACCATTCTAATTTAGCTAATTTATCTGTACGAAAGTCACTGTTGACTTGATATTCTAAGGTTATTCGTTACACATATATCTCTAACTAACAAGTTATTCCACTGTTCCATATAACATAAATAGCTCCCCAACATTCTACTGTTCCTGCTATGTTGCGTGGATTCTTCATTTGTCGTAACATACCAGTGTCTAACGGATGTGATAAGAGTGTGGATGCTTCATATGGATTCTTCAAAATACAAAATTAGCAAAGAAAAATTGGCATACCTGTATCAGATACCTCCGTCCAACCGTACATAGGTTTCCTGAAGCTACGGTGTGGAAATAGCGGAAAACTGATCATCTTGACAGAGAAGGAAGCAACCAAAGATTGGAAAGAGATGAGGCCGTGGAGAGAAACCATGACAAGAAGGCCAATGAAGCAGATATCTGATATCTACTGCATAATCCGGCTGGACAGAATGTTACATCTGCCCTGTGCAAAAGATCGACTATTCCAGCAATTGAGCTAGCTGCTGCTAGGGTGAGGAATGATAATGCCTGTACAGTGTGTCTATTTGAGTCAGAATTATTGAAATGTGGGAAAAGGTCCAAATTTACCCCATTTACCATACGAGTATCCTGATTGTCCTTCGGTATACTTGGGGTCATTCATACTTTTGTTGTTAGCAAATCGTCTCACATTTACACTTAACCTTAACAGAGTTGTAGCATGAAATGGATGGAGTTCATGTATCAAAATATATTCAGGACAAAAGGTCTAGATTTACGCTTCTACTTTTTACTATAGTTAAATTGACCTCTTCTTTTGTGATCAGGACTCACGAGTAAATACAAGACGATTTGCTAACAGGCAATTGTATCAACCCGCTCAAAGTATAACGGATGGTAAAATTAAGATAAATCGTATAGCAGAGAGGTACTTGACCCTTTACTTTAAGTCTGTAGCCTTTCAGAGATTCAAGAGCAAGACATACCCAATCTCCTAAAACAATGAAGAGTAGGATCCCTGGCTGACGGATGGGGCAATGGATCAAGACAGAGTATATGTCAATCAATGCCAAAGTAATGCTCCAGGGGATGACCAAACCCATGATTGTTACTAAGAAGCTGCCATCAGAAAGAAAATATATCAAGTTATCAACAGGTAGAGGATCAGATTGATATTATAGTAACAGGCAATTTGAGATTAATTAGGATTAAAATATATTCTCACTGAGATCAAGTGATAACTGATAATCTGATATGACTGCTCAGATGAATTTTATTGAAATCTTTACTTTGCCATTTCAACCTATCACTGGTCATACAATAAATGGTATGCCAGTTTATGCAATTCCTTGAAATCTGTTATCTTTACTATTGCTTAGTGTGCCTGTGTGCTTAATCAATAGTCATACGGTGGAGACGAGATAAATAAACACCAATCCAGGATCTAAACTCTAAAGTTAATTAGTTCAGAATTAATGTGATCTTATTATACGTACACATTCTAAAAGCAATGAGTTGAGTTGAGTTGAATCACAAAACTGACCCTAAATCCGCCTCTGCATATACGGAGATTATTCTCTGTGTGTGTGACAAAAGAATATGCAGAGACAAAGAGAGTGTGTACATAGTACATAGGAAGAGAAATTACCAAAAGGCAGTATAATTGTGGAACTCAACTCCTAAAGACATGAACAAAAGAGAAGCAGAGGAGAAGATGGTCTGCCCTAATCTCAAAGCAAAGCTCGCGCTTGTCCCCACAGCTCCTGGTACTTCATCATCCATGGCCATTTGCTGTTAAAGCTACAATATGATCTATGTTCACTGCAACCTCCAATTTCTGAAGATGATTACAAAGCAGACAATTGTAAGTTCTTTCTCTATTGCCCAAGTTCATCATCATCTTCAGCTGTAATTCCGAATCTTTGCCTCCCCAAAATATTCATGGATTGATCATTGAAATTTCAAGAACTTTGGCAATGGATACTGGTTTTTTGTCTTCTTGTTGTTGTAATGGTGTACTTATTTTCTTGTGGCAAAAAACAGGGCTATTGTGCATGATATTGCATAATGCTTTTCAACGTAGGATGTGAAGAAAGCTTTCAAAACCTGTACAAAGGATTTGACAAGTGGAATTGCATATTACCTCTCCTTTTTATTCTTTTCGTCTATCTTTTTTTCTTTTTAGCTGTTTGAAGAGACGGCCATAAATTATTTGGAACTGTTTAAGTCAGCGTTTAAGCAGCACCCACATGAACCGCACACAAGTTTAGTGGCAAACACAAATGGGAATCAAGAATAGTGTTTCAAAGTTTAAACAAAGGCAAACGCAAAGGAGACGAACTTGAGCCCTTCAATTTTTAACATGACACAAGTCCATTTCACGGGGTTGTGCAAAATATTCCAAGCAGTAGAACGAAAGGTGCAATAACCTAACTAAAAAGACACTTGGCTTTGAGAATAAAAGTATGATGAGGTCGTCAATTTGATCGAAATAGTTTACACTTGAGTTCATATTTTTCTTTGTTAGTGGAGTATCTATTCCTTTTTGGCTTTATATCGGCTTAGTCTGATAACTTTCTAATATTACATCCGATACAGATTCTGATTTATAAAGATATTTTTCAGAACTAATTCGAAAGTATTACTACGTGCTACAATTTTATTTAAAATGCTGACATCAAGTACTTAAAAATCTTAATCAAATTTTCCATATGACTATTTTAAATTCTATACAAACATTTGCATATGCTGCAAATTCTGGACTACTTAGCATCTTCTGATTAATTGCTGTTAACCTGAAATTTCCATACACATCGCCTGTCATTAAAAGAGGCATCTACTGTTCCCATTTTATTCCTCTCCATAAAAAAAATGTGTGCTCTCTCTCCTATGAAAGAGTGCAGGATATTCTAGCAGTTAGGACCATATAAGCGAAGTTACTCTGAATGATATGCATTTGAACGATCAAGCACATCAGACTCTATAAACAAACAGTAAAGCCAAAAAAATGATAAATGTATCACTAAAACTGACAAGGGGAAACCGGTTCCCTACAAGGTTTTTTCTCAAACAAATAAGTTAACATTATCCAATTACATGTCAGCAAATTTCAGAATAGGGGCATATGGTAATGAAAGGACGAGAAAGAAACAAGGTAACCGAAGAGGGGAGACGTTTATAGGTGCATACAAAATATTTGCTCCTCCTTCTGAACATTCATTCCTCGAGAGAAGCTGCGGAAGAAAAAGGCAAAGAAAGTATTGGTGAGTTTACACGATAACACCACTTGATTTAAGCACACCGAATCTAAGAAATACAGTATGTAATTCGATTAATCAACAAAGAAACAACTTAGTGTCAACTGTCAAGGGCGCCAAAGAATGTGCATAATGTAATTGTATCAGTAGAACATCAACCTTCTAAGGAAGACTAATTCTGAAAATGACTACACAGTCACTATACAACATGAACCTTTAGCTAGTACTTAATCCAACAACAGTGCACAGGGATTGATGCTTAATTGCAGTCCAGCTTGAACCTTTAGCTTATACTTGAAATTCTATAATACTACATAGGAATCAGATTTAAGAGTATCGATTTGTGTGAAATAATTTCATCAAAAAGATTAAACTATTAAAGAATTAGACAATTTTCCTTAAAGACTGGATCAACTTTTTTTGAGAATATGACTGGAACAACTTTTCTAGCCCATTAAAATCTTTTCTGACGATGGGTGGCTGGCTGCAAGGCTCAAAGTTAAAACCTTTGCTGGCTCTAATACCATATGAATTGTGTAAGCCAACTCATCTCAATTTGATTATTTCAAGAGATGTCCCCTTGCCTGGTTGCAAAAGGAGACTTCTACCACAAACCGTAAGAATACTCATTCTTCAGCTGCTAACTAAAAAAAAAGGGCCAAACCAACTGCGTTCAGATTGTAATAACGTACCAAAAAAATGATTTTCTTGCACCAAATAAAGACTTATGTAACAAACCGTAACACTGACAGTAGCTTAGTAATGAGTCATGTGTGTGTGTGTGTTCCCATATTTTTGGTGCATGAATTTATTAATTGATGTTTGTTTAGGGCACATGATATGATTAAAAGGCTGCATAACCAAGAAAAATGGGCATTTAAATAAAGTGAATATAAGAGCAAAGGATTGAAGTATTGGAGTGCGCCACGAGCTGAGCCTAGCGCCCATGCGGCACCAATTATAGTCACAATAGGAGAAAAAGAGGTGCTTACTTCTACCCTTTCCATGTGGGAGCCTTGTTAGTCTAGGGCTCTTTCTCCTCCTCTGATAAATATTGTAATATTCCACGAACATGGTAGAGACAATTTTGGGAGCATTCTTGGAGAAGTAGGCACCTGTGACTGATTTCCTTTATCTAGAGTTATGGGAACCTGAGCATGTTATGGTCCATATTATGTTTGAATGAATTGATTTTCGTGAACCAAGGTTTATTTGTTTATTTCAATTCTTACGTATTCGATAGCACAACTAACGATTGAATACTATCTATAAACCCTAGACTGAACTTGGAAAAGGTAATCTAGGGTTGATTTGGAATAAACTTTGCTAGTTTGTGAACCTGGCGGTCGGAGAACTAATTCGTGGATAGAATAGGAATATATCTATTCACTGTGCATAACATTAACAGGTACTTTGCAATTCATTCTTATTAACCTTAATACCATAAGTGTATAGATAGTAGGTTAATTTGGATAAACGAATAAGAAATTGGAGAATTCTTATGAACAATAGATGGCCGTGGTTACTAGCCCTAGTGAAATTAATTTAGTCAAATCGTAATAGGGTCATAAGAGGACTGTGAAGGAGAACCATAGCTCAACTCAGCCCATAACATCAATTCCATTGATGAAAACAAGCTGAGCAAAAATACATATGCAGATGCTATCAATAAATTAATTAATTAACTACGCCTCTTATTCCAAACAAGATGAGACGATTATATGAATACCACATTCAGCAAACTAGAACATTCATCCTAATTTCACTATTTTCATCTTACCACATCCTCTATCCGTTCTTGGAACAATCTAAGCTTCGGTCGCATACAATTAGATAATAATAGTATATAATTAATCCAAGTAAATTCTCAGGAGAAAATTTATAAGCATAAATTCAACTAATAACAACAATTAAGTTGAAAATCGTATAATCATAAGGATAAATTTACCTGAGAAGAAAGAGGAGCAAATAGAATAAGGAACCTAGAGTTCGAGCATGAGTTCTTCTTTCGAATCGGAGAAATAGTGGAGAATGTATGGGGTGACCCGAATCACGGCGACCCAAGTACCAAACAGGGCAACGTGTGTCTTCAGCTGCTTCAAAGCAGCTGCTTTGTCAGGTTTACGCATGAACAATCCTGGAAACATTGTTGCTTCTTTTGCTACTCTGAGATTTGAGATTGAACGATCCAAAAACCCTAGCTTCCAACTGAAAAGGGAGTAGCCGCTGAGGTTTTAGACTTGTGTATTTAGTGATTGTCACTCCTGGGCCTCAGGCCCAATTTTTATTATATAAGGGAGAGTGTTTGGGCCGGGTCTAATATGACTTTATTAGCCGACCCGTTATGATTTGTATTGAATTTGATTCTTGCAAATTGCAATACCATCATCGTGCTTAAAAGTGGAATTGAAGTGCTGAATTTAACAAATGGAAATAGTTCGAGATGATTTGGCCTCTAACTTTATAGGATTACCTAGACAGCAAATTCTTTTAGATGTGGATTTCCTTGTCTGTGGCTGTTAGTTTTACTTGATAAGTGATGGTGGTGGTTGTTTAAAGGTGAGTCAGTGAGAGTTGAGGATGTGTGAGTTTGGATTCCACAATAACCAAAGTAATAGAAAGAGTTTTTTGATGTGTTGAGTCAATTCTTGATACTCTTGTGTCGCACTTAATCCATGGCATTTCAAAGAGTAAATGTTATTAATGATTTATTTGTATTGAAAACAATTGTTAGTCTCAATTGATGCTAGATGAGGTTACTTTAAGACAGCTGAATTTTCTTGGATTTTCCCTTGAGGGGTGGGTCTTATTTTGTTTGCTTGAGGACAAGCAAAAGCTTAAGTTTGGGGGAGTGATAACTAGGGATTTTGATACATTTTATACTCCTTCTTGCTTAAGATTTGATTAGAAATGTGTACAAAATAATCTTAAAGGCTCACAAGTTGTGCTTGATAGCAGGTTTGATCAACAAGGTGACAAGATGTCAAAGATCAGCTCAAAAGGAGTGAAACTTGCACTAGTATCAAGACAAGACAAAGCTCAGACAAAACAAGGCCAGTGCAGCCGCATACCATTCTGTGCGGTTCGCACAAGTGAGGTTCAGAGAGTATGATATTCAGGTAAAAAGAGCAATGCAGCCGCAGTAGTTTTGTGCGGTCTACACTGGGATCAATGTGGCCGCACTCGATTTAGTGCGGTCAGCAGTAAGAAGGATCAGAGAGTTGCCAGTTCCAAGTTTCAAGCCAATGTGGTCCGCGCTCCATTTTCATGCAGACCGCACTAGAAGCCTCCGCGGTCGCACTCCATTTTGTGCGGTACGCATTGCCTGAGTTCAGAGAGATGGATTTTTATGTCAAGAGCCTTAATGCAACCGCACGTGATTTTGTGCGGTCCGCACTAGCCCCGCAGGGGTATATTTGTCTAGATTTTTCAGCTTAGTATAAATAGCTTCTTTTCCCATTTTTAGGTCATCAGATAGTTTTAGCTAAGAGTTGCGCTCGTGGGTTCGAATATTTTAGCTATTTTGGGCAATTTTATCTACATTTCAACATTGAATCTTCTTGTTTATCTTCGTAATTAATTAATATGAGTTGTTCTTCATCTATTTCTTATTTTTTCTTCTTTAATTATGAGTAGCTAAACCCATAAGCTAGGGTTGTGGCTCAACCCTAGTGTGGGTAATTGATGGGTCTTGTGTTTTAGGGCTAGATTGATTATAGGTGTTTGATATTTGAGCTAATTTCATGTTTAATTGCTGAATTAATGGTTGCAAACATTAATTTGTGTTTAATTGACTTGATCTCTTCTTGAGAAAGAGAGCTTAAGTCTCTCAAATTGGTCCAACAAAGAATTGGGGCGTACTCAAGAGACTAATAGCCCCAATTAGGGTTAAACCTCGAGAGAGTAATACCCGACTTGAACCTTGATTGATTGTGCAAATTTGCATACCCAAATAGTCTTGAGAAAGTCAATTCGGGCAAAATCACTTGAACCATCGAGAGGTGTAGAGTGGGTAAAAATCGTGCAACGGTTATATCATACTCCCCAAATATGTCAATAATGTCTTAGACTCAAGTATATGTCAATTGACCACCTAGGCGAAAGTCACTACCCTAGTGCATTTTAAACCATTTGAACAACCCGCGACATTTTACTCTTAGCTTATTCTAGTTTAATTTACCATTGTAGTTTGATAAAAGTAGAAGTAAAACAAAAATCCAAAAATATTTAGAAGTGTAATTTGGAACACATACACGACTCTAAATTTGATTGATACCCGACTCCAACA